GGGGCCCCAGACTTCGTTTTTTTAGTGCACCGAAGATTCTGCGAAAAGCGCCCCGCACTGCTTTTTAAACAAAGGAAAATGGAGGCCCGCGGACCCCGTTATTCATCGAGGATCCGAGATGGGGGGTCGACTTCCCTCGAGAAGGCACGCGCGAAACTGATTTCTTCACGCCGGAATTGATTTTACTTCGTTTATATGTGTATATCAATATATATATATATAGAGAGAGAGAGAGAGAGAGAGAGAGAGACGTTATATATACATATATATATACACATATATACATAAATAGATTTGGGACATCCGGTCGCACCCGCTCAACCTCGCGCCTTGCGAGTGGCATCCGCAGGCAGATTTTGTCAGCGCGGGCGATTGGCTCGAGCGCGTGAACGAGGAGCGCGGCGGAGAACGGAGGCGCCGCAGTGCCCCGCTCGCGCCCGAGTCGCTGCGCCCGCGCCAGACCACTGAGCAGGACACGGACCCGCCATCAGAAACTCTGCGGAGCCCCGACCCCGGGGCCGCGCGGCGGGGCAAATTTTCGGGGGGGGCGACGGCGCAAGCCGCCTCGGGCGAAGGATTGCCGCGCGGTCAGAAGCGGGCCCGAGGTGTCCGAAGGCGCGCGTTTGCCGCGCGCGGCGCGAATGGCCGGGCGATTTTCAAGGGGCGTGCGTGGCCGGGCCGCGCTGCTTCGCGCGGAGTTTCGAGGGCGCGGCAGCGCTGCTCGACCGCGCGCCACGAGGCCTGGAACCTCATCCCGAAACAATAATTGCTGGCGCCGGCTGCGATCATGAAGCTCGGCAACCCGCAGGAGCGCGGGCCGGCGACGGCTTGCGCGCCCAATGCGCGCGGTCGCAAACCAGCGGGGGCGAGGAGTAAGCGCGCGCCATGCATGTTTCGGGCCTGCGACGCGCGAGTGCGCCGCGGCGAACCACGCGGCGCCGCCGCGCGAGATGTCGCTCGCTCCGGCGCGGGCGTTCGCCGCTGAGGTTGCGCCGCGGCTCGACGAGCGCCCCGAGACTGAGGCCGCTGGCCCTCGCACGGCCCGACCATGGGATTTCTCTTTCCGCCGGTCTGGTTTCGCAGGATGCGCCGTTTTGTCCGGGAACGCCTCCCGCGCCAAGGCCCCGGCGCTCTTCGCTGATCCGGGGAAGCCCATCGCCGCCAGTCTAACTGGGCCGTCTCCCTGGGCGCCTAACGCGCCGACGAGGCCGGGCGCAGAGGCCGCGGCGGCGTCGGCCGCGGCGCTCGGCCGCAGTTCGAGAGGTCCGCGTCCGACGCCCGAGCGGCTCACCGTCAGAAGACGAATAACATCACTTGCGCCGAGGAGACCTGCGACGCCGACTTGACGGCCCAATGACGCGGCACGAGACATGAACAACGGGTGCCGCCCCCCATCTCGGACTCCGCTGTAGAGGGCCCCCATGGGCGCCGACGACCCGGGCGCCGCCCTGTCGACCAGGCAGGCCCGGGGACGCCGCGTCGGCGGGGCGCGCCGACAGGATCGACGAGGACGTCGCGCTCGAGCTCCAGAGCAGATCGGCGGCCGCCTTCCACCCCGACGACATTCCCAGGGCCGGAGCTCACGGAAGCTGCGTGCGGATCACAAGCCTGCAGCAGCGGCTGGAAGAGGTCGACGCCGTCGCGGCGCGTTCGGTGGAGGCGCAAGCGGAGTCCATCTTAGAGCGGCAGTTGGAGGGCAATACTCGCGACTCCAGGGCGAGGCCGGCCAACGGTGCATTCTTAACCTCTGCGCGCAAGTTCAGTAGACCGCGCAGACAGCCACAGACGATCAGTCGCAGTACAACATGTTTTTCAGAGCTGCAGTGGCTCCCCAGTGGCTTCGACCCTCAGAGCGCTTCGCCCGCAGCGCCGAGCACGGCGCGGCCGTCCGCCGCGTCCGCCTCGACCACTGTGCGTCGCATGCAAATGCCGCGGGGGAGTGGGCCACTCTGCCCCACTACGGAAACGGGGCCAAGGTGACCCACAGCGAGCCTGCGTTCCGTATGTTCCGCTCCTCCCAGTGGAAGGATCACGCGCTTGCACGTGCGCGAGAAGTTCGGACGCACGGCGGGCGGGAAACACGAAGAGTACAAGATGGGTCCGAATCTTATCCAACCGGTCCCTGCGTCGGGCGGGTTCCGCAAGAACGCCACCAGGGACTGCGTCTTGCCGAAGTCGTCCTGTCCTTATCGTCGCACTCGATTTAAATGATGTCAAGCCGCTACTTATCGAGCTGTCGGCGGTGCGTTTTTACTGCGCGTGGTACCAGGGCTCGCTGCCGGTCAGCGCCTTTCTTGCCGACGTAGTACCCGCGCAACTCTTCCAAAGTAATATCGAAGCCCATCTGTGTCATAGCGTTCTCCAGATTCGAACTTGCGGGGGGCCGCTGCGTCGATAGCAAATCTGGGCGGCGTGACTGCCGCGCGCAGCTAGGGAACGCTTGCTGCCACCAATTGGAAATCCAACGGCGCCCGCGTGAAAAACCTGGCGCGCCGAGTCGGCACGAGCAACGGTGTCTAGTGTTTTCGATGCGTGCCGTCCTGGGCGCAATTGATGGCATGTGCCGAGCGCGCGACACATAGCGCCCCTCGACCCCCAGCGCGCCCCCTCCGATGCCAAGAAAATGCGACGCCTGCCCCTACCCCTGCGAACGGACTCTGGGATCGAGGACGTGCCTCGCCTGCTACGCCCTGCAGGCGAACGCACTCCCCGCGCACCCCCTCTGGCGTCGAGGAAGTGCCACGCGTGCCACGCTCTGCGAGTGTGCGACGGATGGCGCCTCCACCTCCAGCGCGCCCCCCCTGACGTCGAAAAAGTGCCACGTCTGCCGCGCTCTGCGAGCTTGCGACGTACAGCGCCCTCACCCCCTGCGCACCCCCTCTGGTGTCGAGAAAGTGCCACGCACGCCACGCTTTGCGAGCGTGCGACGAATAGCGCCCTCGCCACATCCGCCTCCCCTGTGGCGCCGAGAAAATTGGAAGCGCCATGCCTGAGCGTACGACGGATAGCGCCCCCTCTTCCTCCGCGCTCCCTCTGGCGTCGAGGCAGTGCCACGCCTGCCACACTCTGCGGGCGTGCGACGGGTGGCGCCCCCAAACCCTGCGCAACCCCTCCAGTGCCTCGACAGTTGCCGCGCCGGCCACGCTTTTCGAACGTGCGGCGGATAGCGCCCCCACCCCCTGCACCCCCTCTGGTCTCGAGGATGTGCCACGCCTGCCACGCTTTGCGAGTGTGCGGCGGATAGCGCCTCCACGCCCTGCGCACCCCCTCTGGCGTCGAGACAGGTGTCATTCACACGCTCATCGGGCGTGCGGCGGATCGCCTCCCCACCGCCAGCGCACCCCTCGCGCGTCGGGGAAGTGCCGGGTCGGGCGAAAGGGGGGGATAGCAAAGGGGGGGCTTTGACAGCCAGCTCACGTAGCTGATGTTCCCGGCGCCTCCCGGCGCCGGAGGCGGCCATGTGTCGAGGAATGGGCCCCTCGGTGGGGCCGAAACCAGCTGCATGCAGCAAATTTCGCAACCCCCCCTTTCCCAATCCCCCCCTTTCGTCCGGCCCGAAAGTGGCACACCTGCCACGCTTTGCGAGCCTGCGGCTGGTGGCTCCCCCTCCACACCCCCTCTGGCGTCGAGGAAGGGCCACGCCGGCCACGCACTGCGGGTGTGCGACGAATGCAGTCGGGCCCCTGCCAGAAAGAACGCTAAATAAGGAACGAAGCCCCTTTTTTTCATCATACACAAATTAAAAAATATGTAAGGAACGGCCGAGCACTTTTTTTGGAAGGCCAGCAGACCCAAGGAACCACCGAGCCCCTTCCGAACCAGAACTGGACCTTATTTCAGGAGCCTCACTGTAGCGCCCCCACCCCCTGCGCACCCCGTCTCGTGCCGAAGAAATGCCGCGCATTCCACGATTTGTGAGCGTGCCACGGATAGCGGCCCCACACCCTCGCACACTTCCAGTTGTCAAGAAAGTGCCACGCCTACCACGCTCTGCGGGCGTGCGACCCCGCCTCTAGCGCACCCCCTCTGGTGTCGTGAAAATGAAACGCTTGCCACGCTTCGCGAGCGTTCGACGGATCGCGCCCCCACACCATGTGCAACCCCTCGGGTGTCGAGAAAGTGCCACGACTCCCACGCTCTGTGGGCGTGCGACTGTATGTGGACGTGTGCCTCATGTGGATGTCTGGAGCGCGCCTGGGTGCAGGGGAGAAGGAGAGGGGGAAGAGGAAAGCACGGGCGAGATAAGACGCGAGTAGGGCGAGCGAGAAGGAGGAAGCGCGATGTGTCTATGCATGATGTGCGCGCGTGTCTGTTATGCATGTGTGCGTATGTCTCATGGGTGCATGGGCGACGCGGCCGAGGAGGAGGAGGAGGAGGAAGAAGAGGAGGGGTGAGGAGGAGCGCGGGTGACCAAACGCGGGTGCGACGCGGGTGGGAAGAAAACAAGAGCACCACGAGGCATGTGTGGAAAAACCTCAGGACCCGTTTCCCTCAAGACCTGTTTCCCCCATGGCGATCTAGAAGGGCGGGCGGGTGGGGCCATATCTGGGGCCATATCTGAGCGGCTCGCCGGCCAGCGCTGGGGGGGCCAGTGCGGGCACCAGAAGTCACTCGGCCGAAGGGCCACCCCTACGCGTCACCGATAAAACCTCGAGATATCCTAGCAACCCACCGTGTGAGGGAATCAGGGCGTGCCGCTGGCTGAGGTCGCAGTCGCGTACATTGCGTCTGGGAAGCGGTCAGGAAGGAGCGACAAAGCCCTGCGGACCAAACTTGATCCGAAACACCTACGGGGGCGACGGAGGGGAGACGGACGAATACGAGGGTGAAGGCAATGCGGCAGAATGCGGATGTGGTGGAGAGGGGCCAGGATAATGCAGGAAAAGTGGCGAGGAGGAAGGTGCAGGTGGAAGAGGGGGAGGACAAGAGGGAGAAGCGAGAGGGAGAACGAGAAGAACGAGGAAGACTGGAGAGGACGAACAACGAATGCACAAACAATCCTGACCGCCCAACGTGGCCAGGTAGTTCTCGGTCGGGGAGAAACACAGGGACTGCACGGACACCTGTCGACGGCGATACGCCTCATTGTGATAGAAACACGCACACACTCATCTACACCGTTATAGTTATAACGCCCCGTCCCCAAGGCGTGCTTATGTGACCGCACCAAGCTGTTCGACATAATTGTACAGCTGCTCAGAACGCTTAGGGCCAACATGAACAACCAACTAATATCATATGACGGCATACCCCTAGGACATTGATGATGAGCACTGCTTGCTTGGAAAATGATGAACTACTGTTTTGCCGAAAGTGACCGCACAAAAATGAAATCGAGTGGCCACAGTGGCCGGGAAGGCAATCACCCAGAACAATGGACAACAAAACAAGATAAAGCAAGAATACCTACTAGCCAAATCTTGCAAGAAAAACGTTCCCTCTTGCCGTGCTGCTGGGGAGGGAGTGGGCATGTCATCAGGTCCTTCGCCCACGCGATGAATTCAATCCTCGGCACAACGGTTTAATTCCCGGCAGAAGGACTCCATCCCGGGAAGCAGGTTCAATCCCCAGCGGAAGGGTTCACTCCCAGGTATCCATCCTAATAACATGCCACATGCAAAAGAAACTCTTGAGCTAGAATGCGCATACGAATCCTTAGGGTAACCATATGGGGACTGGGAAAATCTCATGCCGGGTATTGATCCGACCGGGGCTCTATGTACTGTCATCCTCATACTGGTAGTCCTTTTGGAATTGAATGAGATTGCTTCCAATTTGAATCAATGTGGGTTCCATGCGGACCCCAAGGCAATCCTCTTTGAATGAAATCAATTCCCTCTCTAGCAGGATCCTAACGACATCCTACTACTATATTGAAAAACGATTACCGGATTCCAATGGGAAATCCGATTGGGATCCAGTAGAAGTCCTCTTGCATACCCGCTTGGACCCCAATGGGAATACAATCGAATCCTTCCTATGGGAATCCTATCGGGTTCCGATTGGGCCCATTGGGGCCCTGTTTGCATCCAATCGGATCACTTCTTCTTGGATTTGCATTCGCATCCTATAGGAAGCCTGTTGGAATCCAAAGCTCCCCTCTCATTGTAATCCGACTGGGCTATGGATTGGCCCCTCTTGGAGCCCCAAAATATTAACTTCCCTTGGGTTCCTATTTCGTGGGGTCCTCCAAAAACTTACTGCAACCCATTGTATCCCGTTGGGTTCCTAATAAGGTCCTCTGGGGCACCAAAGGATTCCAAACGACTGGGCTCATATGTGAACCATTCTCTATTTCGACTCGGATCAAACAAACAGATGTGTTATCATGTCCCTTTAAAACTGTATGCGTGCGACCATTTGCAGTCGCGCGTTTGTTGCGTCCCGTGACGATGCCACGAGTACTACCAAGAGGTCCCCGAGACCCCCTTAAGTGTTGGTTGCTTGTGTCGAGCTGAACTCTACGAGTTGCTGCCTGTGGGAACTATACGGAACAGCGTGATTTAGGCACGCCTGGTGTATCCTCGCGTACAATCGTAAGGTTGTCACGCTGCCTCTCAACACAGCCCTGTGGTTCGAGCTCGCGCTCATGTAATGTCGCTGGCGAAATGTTAAAGTAATGCGGCCCCGTGTCATGCTATCTACACACAGGACCAGGCGTTCAGGGACAATTTGAAACGACTCACGGTAAGCTGCTACACCCAACTAATGGAAGAAGGCATCTTGATTGAGGCGATCGCACAGTATTAGAAGATAAATATTAAAAAGGGAAATGCGCAAACCCCCAAATCACCAATTTCTTTACGTGTCTGATGATCTGGAGCCATCGAAGGCTTCCTGGGATCGTTCTTCGGTGGTGACGGGGGCCTTGATTGTGGTTTGCTGTGCACAAATAAGGAGATGGTGAGTTCGAAAAAAAGATTATTGGGCTTCCCTTTTTTCAATTTGCCATGCCTGGGCCGTGGGTCGGAAGCTTCCTGGATACAGGCCGTGGACTTTTGAGACGCCTCTCGGGGCCTTTTGCCGGCGTCTTGGGAATGTTTCGGGGCCTCTTGGGAAGCTCTTGGTGTCTCCTGGGAGCCTCCCGGGAGTCTGTGAAGGCATTTGGGGGGGCGCCTCGAGAGCCCCTGCGAGAACCTTTGAGCCTTCTTGGGGCAAAGCGCTCGAAAGGCTTGGGCAAGTCCTCGCTTTCGTCTTTCTTGGCACGCGCGCGCACTGACGTTGTAGCAAGGTGGGACTGATTAACTCAGGGGCAGCCAAGAGGACACGACGACGACCCAAGAGAGTGCCAAGACAGCGTCAGAGGTTCAACCGCATTCCCGAAAAATCATTGCAATGTGACCCCAAAGTCTTGATGGGGCTCGGGATGAACTTGAACATCAAGAGAATCACTGGATCCCCTTGTTTTCCAAGTGGGGCCTCCTAACATGTAGTGCGCAAGAATCGAGGGGGGCCCTCAGAGGCGTGCAGGGGGCACCGCGTCGATCGTTCACTCTTGAATCGATCGCGGCCCCGATCGTTCAAGGTAGGATTCCGCTGGGTCCAATGGCGTCACTGTGCCCCTCAGTGCTTCCGCGTCGCAGAATTCAGCCTTGAGCGCCTTCGCCGGCCTCGCCGGCGCGCCAACGCCGCACGAACCTACCGTAAGAGACCCCGGTGCTCGAGACCTGCGCAAATTGAGGCACGGCACTGGGCTCGTTCTCCGAGGAGGGGGGGGGGGAGAGCGAGGGGGAGGGGCAGGGGCAGGGGCAGGGGGAGGGGAATGGGGGGGAGGAGGAGGAGGAGGATGACGATCGCACGGTTTCGGAAGGGGTTCGACTTCGCTCTAGGCGACTCGAGCGCCTCGGCTGCCTGGGCGGCAACCACATCAATCGGGATAGGAGGCTTGAAAACAATGGGGCTCGTTTTAGAGGCCCTTGGGTGTCTCCCCTCTGCAAGGCGCGCGCAGGCGCCTTCTAAAAAGTTGGAAATGAATCGCTGGAGACAACTCATCTGGAGGCTCTTAACGGTACGCTCTGAATACTTGCCGCACAACTGACATGCAACAATAAAACTCTCGTCGTCAATTCTGTCGAAAACTGCAAGCTTGTGACCATCCGGCTGCTCTGTTAGCTTAGCCAGACGAGCTGCATTGCCTGGGCGCGACTCCTTGACTCTGGAAAGTTTGACTTTGTCTGACATGCATCGCGAGTGGCAGAAAAAGCAGAGCCAACGTGGCATCTGCCACGGGCGCGCTCGCGCGGGCAACGCGGCGGGGACGGGGGGGGGGGAACCGCCGCAGCTCCAGGGCCCGAAGAGGACCCCCCTGAGTTAGCCCTGCCTTGCCACACTTACGCGATTGATCGAGCACCTACTAACGGGTTGGTTGCCAACGCTGGGCCCTCGAGGCCCCCCCCCCCCCAACCCTCGGGGCAACCGAGGGCCGCAGCGCAAGAGTCTTCGGCACATACCGAAGGAAACGTTTTACTCTCTTGTCGAGCTGCTGCTGGGCATCTCTCCCTCCTTCCGAGGACTGAAGGAGGCGCGAAGCAGCTAATTTGGCAATTCTGTCGGCAGCGTCGTTCCCCGAAGCGCGCCGCCACTCGTCAGAGTAGCGGTCCAGGGAATCTGGATCTTGACGGGCTTTGACATTAGTAACTTCACTGCCTCCTGCACAACTGGCTTTTCCTAGCCTGGCCATTCAGCCCATCCCATCATACATATTCTTCCTACAAGCAGGCTGGCCCGAGTTGTGCCACCTCACGACACCTTTGAAGTTATAGCGAATAGTAGCCACTCCTCTGAACTGGCTGGAAGCTAGGTACGCTAGAAACTCCGCCGCAGGAGACACGGGCGGAAGGGCACTGCCTACTGGCCCACAGAGGCAGGCCTCTACTTCTCCGCGGGCATCACATTTAACCGTAGCCCGTCCTGGGGCGTGGAACCACTGGTGGCCGCCCTCGGCCAGACTGCCGTCGGCATAGACCTCGCCGACAAAGGCTTCCGAAGGCGAAAGACCGCTTCGGGACCAAAACTGGGCCTCCGCCGTGCCTAGACCGATGGGCCTCGGTACCTTAAAGGGCGGAGACGCAGGACAACCAGCACGCGTAGTAAAGGCGTGGGGGTCGCTCAGGGCTTCAAGATCGCCTTCAGCAAGGTAGTATGCCCGAAGGTTTGCACAACTAGGGCACTCCAGGAGCCCGTGGTCTATGTGGTCTGATGGGGCCCCAGCGAGGAGGCTACGATCATGTTTACTAAGTCGTTTATCTGCGAGAGCTGCTCTAGCGTGCGTCCAGTCAACAACAAGCACTCCAATATTTACTGCCACTGTCTCGGCCTGCTGCTCCTGCCACGACGCCTCGAGCATCTGACGAATGAGAGCGGGCGAGCTGGCCGCGAGCGGGTAGACCTCGCCTCCCCTGCTCATGAGCTCTATGGGACTGGTCTATGACCAGCCAGCTCTGGGTAAACTTATGTAGACGGCACCTAGTGGACCTCTGACACTACCCCAACCTGAAGGTGGCTTCTCCAGGATGTTAGCTACAAGTTGTCTAAGTCCGGGAAGTCTGAGCTCGGATGTCCTTGGATCTTGGGCAGCCCTGTAAACAATCATACCCCAGTAAATGCACGGCCCCACGGCTGATGTCCAAGCGGGGTCTTCAAGCACAGCGAGCGACAGGGCACGCGACCGAATAGCACACATGGGCCCCGCGACCTTCAAGAACCGACGCTGCGCACCCTGAGTTCCTGAACCGTGAGCCCCAGAATATCGGCCCCGAAATAGCCTGACGGCTGAAGGCCAGTGTTCCAAATCTTCTGTGCGTCTGCTCGTGCGGCGCGGAGGGCTCGTAATCTGCGGAGTCAGTTCTTCGACTTCCCAGTCCTGGCCTTAAGAGTTGTCCTTCCCTTGCCCCTTAGTCTGGCTCCAGCGGCGGAATCAACCCCAAAGCTTGCGGCTGCAGGCTCGGTCAGAGCGGCCTTCGGGCCAGCCCATTGACCGAGGTTGGCCGCGAGACCGGCCTGGATCACCGGCGTGGAAGCCAGAGCAGCAGCCTTATGCTTCGCGATGCCGCAGTTCAAATTG